CCATACTATCCCTCTGTGCATGTTGAGGCTTCAACCATAAACTCTCTGGAGAGCTGGAAGATCACAGCTTGTGCCTGAAGACAAGGGCTCCAGAAGGGCCTACCCCCATCTCTAGACCCTGTGGGCTCCAACCTCTTTTCTTGGCACTCTGGTACAAGAGAGCTTGGAATAGAGGTGACATGAAGTGACAAGTGTCTCAAACCTGTGTGATGGGAACATGGGTGCTTTTTCCTCCTTTTCTATATAAATGTGTGTTTGATGAATGAAAACAAATAGTTTTATGAGGTGGGTATGATAACGGTAGAGGAGCTCTCAAAGAGGACTTGATAAGTCCACAGTCCAGGATGTCCTCAGGTAAGCTTGAGGGGGCGGAGCTCCACAGAGACCACCCACGGTTGGCAATGTTCACACTGAGCTCAAGTAAGAACTATATGTATGGCTGAATGGTTCTCCAGAACCTCCTGGCCCTGGATTGAAGTCTACAGAAGGGGCCCAGATGGTGCCAGCACGAGTGGTTTCTGGAGCTTACTCTGCAACCATGATGTTTGGAGTGAAATGAGCAGCAGTGGTTGGGAATGAGGGTCAGAGCCTGCCACATGGGAAGGGGACCTCTTTAAAGTCCCATCTGGCAGTTAGCCGGTGCTTCTAGGCATGGACACTGGAGGCATCTGGGGCCTGGAATAGGAGCTAGGGCCTTCAAATATAAGACAGGCTTGTCCTGAGACTACAGGAGCCACAGTTGGTCCACTTAGAAGCCAGCCATCATTCTCTCTGGTCCCTTTTCCAGCCTACATAAGATGACATCAGCACCCAGAAACACCTCCTCCAGCCTAGCTGTTCTCTTTCGTATCACATTCCTCTTCCCATAGCTTGGATTCCACAGCCATTCGTGTCAGTAATAGTCTTACCTCTTCTCTGTCGTTCAACCCCCAGGTGAATCCTTGCTCCACCTTCTTCATTCTTACCCGAAAGCTGCTGGAGCAAGCCGCTTAATCAGAAAGAGGGTTCTTTTCTGAATTAATGGTTATCAACCTGAAGTAGATCCTAAGTACAATTTAGATATTCTACCACATTTCTCCTGTCATTTCAGCTTTCTGCTTTCAGACCTTTTTTACTCTCCCCACACCTGTTTCCCAAGTGCCCCTCACTCTTCGCTACAGCGTGAGGTAAACCCATTGTCAAGCATTTTGTTTTATTTTTTAGAGATTTGAAAGAGATATCGATTTGCTGTCCCACCTGTTTATGCATACAATCCTGGCCTATCCGGACGAGGCTCTAACCTAGGGGTGTCGAACTCAATCAGAGAAGGGGCCAAAATCTAAAATCCAGCCTAAATCGCGGGCCGAATGGTTTACTGAACAGTCATAAACTGTCATTGTGATGGAAACGCAGCGGAGTGCAGTGATGACAGCGCGGTGCGGGCCACATTGCAAGGCCTGGCGGGACGGATTTGGCCCGCGGGCCTTGTGTAACCAATCGAGGAATGAGCAACCCAGCCAGGGCTTGTCAAGCTTTTTAGATCCCCTTCCAACCTTTTCAGAATCACAAGAAGAACCAGAGCATCTCTCTCCCGTATATTTATTCTTGCCAATCAGATCTTCCTGACATGGAAACGTTTTAGTCTCTTCCTCCTTAAAAAACCAACCACCAAATAGCGTCCCCTCAATCTACGCCCACTTGCAGCTTCTCCCCACGTTCAATGACCACCTAACCCCAGTTGCATCCCTAAGCACTCTCCTAAACTCCAGACCCTCATCCCCAGTGCCTACTTAGTACTTCCTTTTTGATGTCATGTTCACAATGGCAGCCAATGGCCTTTTTCCCATCTTCTTCAGGGGTTTCCCACCAATGTGTCATCAATACAATGGTTAGTTCCAGAAACCAGAAGAAATAGAGGATTCCCTCCCCTTCCTGACCCTCCATATCTATTTAATCACTAGCTGTGGCTCAGTCTGGTTAAATGGAAAAGAAAGAAAAGAGAAAGTGCACGTTTCTAATATGTTTAATTTCACAATGCTTGTGGGTATAGATTTTTTGTTGTTCCATTGTCTGTGCAGATATAGAGATTGTCTGGTTTCCCAATTCTAGAACAAGCAATCCCTGGCCCTGAGCTTTGCTGATGGTGATTGCAAACGCCAATCGAATGAGGAATTGCAATCTCTTAAATTTAAATGGCATATCTGTTGGAATCATTGGAATGGGAGAAATGAGGACATCTTCACCTTTGAAAGGTCCTGTTAAGATTGTTGCTTCTAAGACGTTGATCATTAATTTTTGTACTGCAAGCCGCATGCCATTGCAAAACGTTGGTTGATTGATATTTTACAACATGATAACTGGCACACCTATTTTCAATTGCAGTACGTGCGGTGGCATCCCTAGCAGACTGAGTGAATTCAAAAATTCTGTTGGATAATTAACTGCTTCATCTGCTTTCACAACAGTGTCAACAGACTTGTGACTGCCTCGCTTTGAATGTTAGACTGAATAATGTGAAGTTCGTAGATGTCTTTGTTCTTGGCTGCAAGAATAGTTCGTTCACTCAGCCAATCGTGATTCTGATGATTGGTTTTTCAACTAATTCTTCTTTTGACATCACTAAGTTGCAAAAGTTGTGAGGCAATGAAATTCGTCCTGAGGTCAGATCAACCGGCACCTTTCTGTTCCCAATTTCCAGCAATTGATGTGAGAATATCTCAGCTGATTGATCGTTTTGCAGCTGAACACGCATATTTGTAGTTAATTTTAACATCTTTACGTGTCGCCACAAAATAGAGTATTTCAGGCAAGCATTTATTTCGTCTGCTGGTTGTCGATCGAGGAATTACAAGTAATGTTTGCCTGAAATCTCCTGCAAGCAATATTAATAATAATGCGTTCCCAAATGGTCTGATGTTTCCACGCAAATCTTGCAATGATCAATCAAGAGCTTCGAGCGATTTTTTGTGCGCCATTGTGCATTGATCCCAAACAATAAGTTTGATTTCTGCAATACTTTTGCCAAGCTGGATGCTTTGGAAATGTTGCACGTGGGAGTTCAATGAATTGCATGTTCAATGGCAATTTCAAAGCAGAATGAGCAGTTCTTCACCTGGTAGCAATGCGCAGCTATTCCGGACGACGCAAGAGCTAAGGCTCTGTCATTGTGGGATCGAATTGCTGCCAGAATCAATCTAATTAGGAACACTTTACCAGTTCCCCCTGGCGCATCTAAGAAGATTTCACCAAAAACGGTTTGGCTCAGTGGATAGAGCGTCGGTCTTCAGACTAAAAGGTCCCAGGTTCGATTCCGTCAAGGGCATGTGCCTTAGTTGCGGGCACAACTCAGTGGGGGGTGTGCAAGAGGCGGCTGATTGGTGGTTCTCTCTCATCGATGTTTCTAACTCTCTATCCCTCTCTCTTCCTCTCTGTAAAAAATCAATAAAATATGTATTTTTTAAAGATTTCTCTAACCCCGTTATTGACAGTTTGCATTATTTGATCATAAATGTCTTTTTGCTCAAGCGTTAGCTTAGGAATATTTGATTGCACATACGACAAAAGATCACCGTTGTTGTAATTTTGTTCACGACGCAATTCTACATCGAACGAAGCAGCAGCAGATCCATTCGGTGATGGCATTCCCAATTGATTGAGAACTTTGCGATTTCTAATCACAAATATTCAATCATTATCAACACTGAAATGGAATCATAAAATTGGAAATTTGGAGATCGTAAATGGATCGTAAATATCGATAGGAAACATTGAAATGGAATTATAAAATATTTAGTATAGCGTGTATTGCTTTTACGTCCAACAGATGGCGCTGTTTTTCAAAAAAGCATGTTTTTACCCGTCACAGGTGTGACATCTATATAATAGTAGGTATAAGGTATATAAAACACGTGTGCATTCGAATGCAACATTGTGTCAAAATTTCAAAGCAATCGGTGAAGAACTTTCAGAGATTTAAGATTTTGAACAAACGAACATTTACATTTTTATTTATATAGATTGACTTTATTCCCTATTGCCACTACCACAGTCTGAGTAGCTTTCAAAGTGAGGTTCACATACCCACTAATATAAGAAGGAAATCTTCTGGGAAACAGGAATAAACTGTTAGAGCTTTTTAAAATTTAATTTTAGAAAGAGGAAGAAAGGGAGAAAAACATCTGTGTAAGAGAAACATTGTTGCCTCTTGCATGCTTCTGCATGCATACCCCTTACCAGGGATGGAGCCCACAACCCAGGCATATGTCCTGACCAGAAGAACCAGCAATCTTTTGGTGCACAGGGTGATACTCAACCAACTGAGCTGTTGGTTGATTCTTGTATGTAGCCTGACCGACCGGATCCAACCAGCATATCTAACCAACTGAGCTACCCAGTCAGGGCCTAAAACTTACATAAACTATTATTTTTTTCTTTTAAAATTCTTTTTACATATGTTTCATAATGTAAATAGCATATTAGTGCATATATATATTTATAATTTATAAATAAAATCTAGGTGATAGTCAAACTTTTATCTATGGATATTTAAGAATAAAAAAAATGTGGAGGTTCTGGTCTAAATCAGGATTACCTTTTGCTTGGATAATCAAAATAGCCTCCTGACTGGTCTCTGCATCTATTGATTGACAGATTGTGGTAAAATATACCATTATAACCATTATATATATTCATTGATTTCAGAGAGCAATGGAGAAAGAGAGAGAGCTAGAAACATTGATGATGAGAGAATCATTGATTGGCTGCCTCCCGCACACTCCTTAGTGGGGATTGCGCCTGCAACTGGGCATGTGCCCTTGACCAGAATTGAACCTTAGACCTTCAGTCTCCAGGCTGACAATCTATCCACTGAGCCAAACCAGCTAGGGCCATTATAACTATTTTAAAATGTATAGTTTTGTGGCATTACGTACATTCATATTATCGTACAACCATCACTATGTCCATCTCCAGAAATTTTCATCTTCCCAATCTGAAACTCTATCCATTAAATACAAACTCCCTTGCTTCCACAGCACATATATTAAAATTGGAATGGTACAGAGAAGACTAGCATGACCCCTGTGCAAGGATGGCACACAAATTCGTGAAGCATTCCATATTTAAAAATAAATAAATAAACACAAGCTCCCTATGCTCCCCTACCCTGGCTACCATTCATTTTTCTGTCTCTATAAACTTGACTATTCTGAGTTCCTCATATAAGTGCAATTATAGAAGATTGGTTTGTTTTTTTGTGACTGGCTTATTTCGCTTATTTATGACTTCAAAGTTTATTCATTTGTAGTATTTGTCAGAATGTCTTTTAAAAAAAAGTCTGAATAATATTCTGTTGTATGGATATACATTTTGTTTATCCATTCATCCAGGTGGACACTTGGGTTGTATCTATGTTTTTGGTTATGAATAATACTATGAACAATCTACGTTCACTCTTGCCTCCCACAATATAGCCTAAGTAATCCCTTTAAATCTACAAGCATGGTAAAATCGCCTCTTCCTTAAGACTCAGTTTTCCAATGCTTTTAGGTAAGACCTCACCACCCTAGTTTCTTGAATACAAAGCCCTTGAAGACACCTGCTGCTTCTCCTGCAGAACTGCCTTTTCTTCCAGCTTTTCCAAGGTTTTCTTTTCTTCTTCTTTCCTTTAAGACTTCAACTCCTGCCAAAACCGGTTTGGCTCAGTGGAGAGAGCGTAGGCCTGCGGACTGAAAGGTCCTGGGTTCGATTCCGGTCAAGGGTATGTATCTTGGTTGCGGGCACATCCCCAGTGGGGGGTGTGCAGGAGGCAGCTGATCGATGATTCTCTCTCATCGATGTTTTTAACTCTCTATACCTCTCCCTTCCTCTCTGTAAAAAATCAATTAAAGAAAAGAAAAAGACTTCAACTCCTGTTCATTTCCTGGGGAAAGAATTTCCTGATCACCAGCCTTCTCTAGGTCAGGGGACACTCTCCTCCCTCTTCCACTTTCCTCTCCTACCATTTGTCACAATTGGCACTAACTATGCCATCACGCGTATTTGTGACAATTTTGTTTCCATCATTGAGAGTAAACCTATGAGGGTGAGGGAATTATCCAGTCCTACAGTGCCTGTCAGGGCCGGCAGCTAGGAAGCGCTCAATACTTCAGCAATAAATTACAATAATAAATCCTGGAGGAAGCAGCTGAGCCCTCCCTCCCCGAGGCCAAGCCACAGTGCAGGACCGGGCTGGCCTTGCGGGCCTGGCCGCCGGTCCTCATCCCGGCTCCAGCTGTCCCACACGGAGGTCCTCGGCCCCGGAGAGAAGGTGAGGGTCCGCCCCGCCCCGCTCGCGCGAGGAGGGTTCCCGGCAGCAGGGCCGGGGCCGCAGCCACACCGGCGTCCGCCTCGGGGGCGGGGGCGGGGCCGGGCTGCACGTCACTTCCGGTGTACACAGCCGGTCCGGGCGGTGTGCCGGGGCCGGGGCGCGTCGCAGGCAGGTGAGGAGCGGGCGCGAGCGGGCGCTGCCAGGCGCGGGCGGGAGGGGTCGGGGTCGGGGGCGGCCGGTGGCGGGCAGGTCGCGGCCGGAGCCGGGAACGGGACGAGCTCGCAGGGCGCCGAGCCGTGGGCTCCCGCCCCTCGCCCGTCCGCTGTGGAGGACGCGCCGGGTTCTGGGGGCGCTGGCCGGCGGGCGGAAGCCTGGAGGGCCTCCTGGCCCGCGCCCGGCGCGGAGGAGCGGCGGGGACCCCGAGGCCGCGGGGCTGGAGAGGCGGGGACCGGCGCTGCCTCGGGCCGGCGCCCAGACCGGCGCCCGGAAGCCCTCGGAGCGGCCGGCGGAGGGACGGCGGCCTGTGGGAGGCCGGGGTCCGCGGCCACCGGCTGGGGACGTGGCCCTCACGCCGCCCCGCGGCTGCCCGGCCGCGGCGCGCACCTCCCTCGCGGAGCCGGTGCGGTTCGCTGCCGGCGCGCCGAGCCGGTGCCGCGGGGGCCCCGGGAGGACGGGGCCGGGGAGCACGAAGGACCCACGCGCGCGCGGCGAGCGCAGGGTCAGGGGTGTGTCTTCCTGCGGGACCGGGAAAGAAGCATGCCTGGTTGGCATGATAAGAATTTTGTTTATAGTTCTTGCAAAATTTGCCAGGTAAACACACAGCTTGGGGAGGGGGCAGTTTGAAAATAGCTCGTTCTTTCCCCACCCCTCCATTATAAAATCAATTCTCTTCTCCTCACATTCAAGACAACACAAAAAGTATTGTGACAATACTTTTTAAAATGACAGTCATCCACCAACCTATCACTCAGTGTCAACCATTGCTAACATTTTGCTGGTATCAATAAATAGTCATGTATATTTTTATGGACTTAATAGTATACCATTGCATATCATAAATTTAACCAAGCCCTACAAATTAACATTTAGATTGTTTCCACTTTGTCACAAGATAAACAATTGTGTCGAAAGCATTTGTCTGATGGTTATTATAGGAGAATTTTACAAATAAGGGAAAAGGTAACATTCATTTTAAAAATACATAGTATTTTTTTTTTTAAACAAACGGGTGTGTTTTTTTCATTGTTGACATGTTTGAAAAATTCTCCATTCCGATGTTTAAAATTTCATGTTTACTTCTCATTTCACGGTTTTTGTTCTTTTATTTTTTAACTGTTAGCTATTTAATCTACTTTGGTTTTGGTTTAAGATATGCAATATTTTCCATATGGGTTAGTTCTGATTTTATTGAAAAATTATAACTGCTTTTTTATCCTGTTTTAAACCCAAGGTTCTAAGTATGTTTTTGTAAGAGGATTACTTACAGATTTGATATCTAGATTTTGTATATGATGTTTTTAAATTTTATTCACAGTATTTTTTAAAATCATGTTCCTTTACAAGTCCAGGAAACATTTCATGCTTGAGATTTTTATTTTCTCTTTCTTAAAGTAAAAAGTTGAGTTTATTGCTGTTTCATTTGCTTTCTTGCTGACAAGATAACAAACCATATGAAGAGTTCAGGTTTGTTGTGGCAACTTTTCAGTCTGGCATTTGAGATTCTAATCTTCCTCTATTTTTGCACACCAATACGTAGGTTAGCAGTGGAGACCAAGATAGAAAAGTTCTCAGATTCCCTTGGCAATCTAAAATTATCTCTGGATTTTTTGAAGACAGCATGTTTTAATCATCATCCTTAAAAATTTTTAAACAAGTTGCACATGATTCTGTTGAAAATTTTACTAAGTGTTCATTCTGTTGAAAATCTGAAATCTAATACACCATTTTTATGTTAAGTGGGTCTTCCACGTCTTTAGGAAAATAATTGTATCTCAGAGTTAGAAAGCTGGGGCATTAGATGGATTGGATGTCCACTCTCTCGTTCCTTCCTGTGACTGTCGTTGGTGGAAAATGATGATCTTCTTAGGTAGATGAAGGAAGTTGGCTTGAACAAGGAATTGCTTTATTTTGGAGTTACAGAAAAAGCAGGATGCCATTTCCCCTTAGTATAAGTTCGGAGAGAGCCTGGATGTGTCACAGGTTGTGCTTCATATGCCTTTATCTCTATTGTAACTGCCCTCTCGAGGGTCCCCTGATTGATAAATGCAGTGGCTGCTGCTTACTCATTTCCCTTGACCTTGACCATAAATATTTGGCATGGTGAGCCATACTTTCTTGCTGTTGTGAGTCTCCTTTTGGTTGGCCTTCTTGACTTAGAGCTGTTGTGGTCATTTTCTTAACTTTGTGCCTGTGCTTTTTTCACTTGTCTCCTGCTTTTCTTCCCGCATCTGCCAGGGAGCATTTTGGTTTTTGTGGGTTTTTTTCGTGTTTTTTTTTTTTTTAATCTTCACTGGATATTTTCCCTTTGATTTTTAGAGAGAGTGGAAGGGAGGGGGAGAGACAGAGAGAAATATCTATGGAATACATTGATCGGTTGCTTCCCACCTGAGCCCCAACCAGGGGCCAGGCCCTTGACTAGAATCAAACTGGGAACCCTTCATTCCGCAGGCAGACCAGCTACAACCCTGGAGCATTGTCTAAAGCTTAGCTTCCTGCCTCTCTCCTTGTCCTTTAATGCATGCTCCTTCCCACTCACTGGATATGTATGTGACTTCTAGATAGAGATGCTCGTCACCCCCTCACCCTGCCTCCACTCAGTAACCCCAACTCAGACTTCGCTGCAGGAGATTTCTTTATCTCTCTCACTGACCCTGGACGTGCTCCTGAGCCCATACTTTCTCCAGCTCATGGAGCCATTCAGTGCTTCCCAAGGTGGCCTGTCCTTAATGACCTTAAGGTTCTTATTCGTTGACATAGCACATCTCTTCTTCCTTCTTGATTTGGGTTATATTTGGCATATGCTTCTATCCCTATAAGTTGATTTAAACTTTGTACCTTTGCTCATGGACCTCAGACATACTCTGGTTCCACCCTGGATAAGAAAGATGAAATCCAGTGAATTTAGTCAGGTTATATTTATGAAATTTTTGCAGCCTAAGCTAATTACTAAACTGGAAGATTGGAATACAGAGCCACAAGGCCCAGCCTGGGGCTAAAAAACAATCCATTGCCATATGCATCATAAGTGCATAGAGAAGCAGGAGGCACATATAAGCTCAGCCAGGTTTTAGAGAAAATATCTTGCCTGTTTCATCTCTAGGACCTACAACATAATGTTCTGGAAGCGATTAAGTTTTTGTTAAATGAAATGAATGAATCAGTGATCATCTAGAAATGAAATCAGAATAAATGTTACACAAAACAGCTATCTATGGAAAAGATATAAGCCAAGAGACATTTTGTAAATGTAGTTTGGAGAATTTCAAGGAAAACTTTTTAAGTTAAATCAAAATGACCCAGTTATAACCCAGGAAAGCATGATTGGAATTTGTTTGTAGCCTGGATACTTAAACTTAATTTAGTATCCTCAGAAGAAAGACTGCATTTTTTTAGAGGGAGGGTGTTGGGATGTCTATGGGAACTGGGGTAGTGGGTCCAAGTGAGGAATTAGGTGATGTGTCTGTGCACTGTCTGGAGGCCAAGAGCAGAGGAGCTGTATGTGTAGTTCCCCAGCAGGCCTCTGCACTACCAGATGCGCACATGCCTTCAGTCAGGAAAATCTCTTGCTTTGCTTCCATGATCTTAATACCCTCTGATT